TATTATCGTGACACCTGGTGCCTCATGCAATCGGCATTAAAGTGCAATGAGATTGAAAAGGGCGCAGAAGTCAAACCATCCTTGGGCAATGGGAGAACGATCCAAAGAAGCGAAAACTCGGCGACACACACAATAACGTTCCATCTCGACGAGGAGCAACCTCCGTTGCTCCTCGAGGCGCCACAATGGTCCGCATGGACGGTCCATAGGGAACGCTGATTTCTCCACAATTTCTGTTATTTTGGGCGAATGCATGGCCAGCAGGCTGGTTCTCAAAGAGGGACGGACAGCCGGCTGTAAGGAATGGACCGTGGAGAGTGGGATGGGCCGGACCGTGTCCGAGAGAGAGAGAGAGAGAGACGCGCCTGCGAGGCGTGAGTTTAGGTTCTATCTTGGGGTTGCCAGGTGCAACCTTTCCCTTCCTGCTTGTGAATACCTGCTTTCTACAAAACATCGCTCATTCTTCGTGCCTGTTCGTCCCTCTCAGCCGTAGCCTTGACCATTCTGAACTAATCCCCCAAGAGACCCACTTGCTGGTCGTAGCACGATAATCCGAGACGAATGAACAGATACGTGCTTTCACTATTTTTTAATAGATGTGCCGCGTCGGAATCTCTTTTTTACTATCAATATTTATGGCTATCTCAATCATTAGACAATTAGTCGTTTCAATAATTCCCTTCTACTTCTTGGAATATGTTAATGGAGAGGATACGGTTGGAGGTTACAGGCATGCAAAAATTTGCATTTCAATGATTTTTTCCCGCGATTAATTTGTCGGTACGTACGAATTTATGAGCGCATTGTTTCGCTGGGAAGCGAGAAGGAGAATCTCAGCCTTGACCATCTCGGAACGGCGCGGGCAAGATGACGATATATTACGCCACGTCTGGCGGTCTTGCGATAATTAGCATACTGAGTAGGTAGGTAATTGTATTCGATGTTGCTCTAAATGGTACGGGTACAAATGCGATGCCTAACACGCTCTAGAAACATAGTTTTGATTAGTGTTTACGTTAGCGTGGCAAGCGCTTTCCGCTTTTGTGAAATTTAATGTAGCGTATGGCAAATTGCCCGCTCTCTCTCTTCCCTTCGTGAACTTTGGGTAGCTGTGTGCTTTGTGTCAGCCGAATTATCTTAGAATGAAGGAGGGCGCGTCTTTGTAATGGCTTCTAAGGAAGTTATAACAATGAGTAAACGACCTCGTATATATGAAGGAAAACGTTGAATCCCCGAATCTCTCCCTCTCCCACCTCTTCTCTTTCTTACTGCTCGTTACTCGCTCGTGGACTTTATCGTGGACACTTATAACGATAATGTCCCATTAAGTACATTATACTGTCGTGTCGTAGTTCGTGTAGAATATTTCGACTTTACATATAAAATAATATTTCGACAATACATATAAAATAATGGTATTGTTTAATTATTAGTTATAATTGTAGAATAGTTAGGAAAACACTATATATCTAATGATTAGATTGTATGTACTTACCTAAGTTTATTTATCGCTGATTACAAATTGTTAATTGCTGTTCCATTGTATAATGAGAACTTTAATCAGTGTTATTAGATATAGTTATGTAGATATTAATTATTAATGTAATTTATTCAGACTATTATTACGTAAAATCTGCTATTATTACGTAAAATCAATGAGTAACATTGATGAATAAATAAGTTTTATTGATTGTACTTTAGGCATTCATCGTATTTCTGATTATTACAACTATTTCGTATCAAATTAGTCGGTTCCGAAGTAATCTGAATTAAAACCGTGCTACGATCTAAAAAATGATAAATTGAAACGATATCATACAAAAAGAAATACTGAAGGTAATCATTGCAAAAATGGTTTCTAATATATGATTGAGATTCAATTTTCATCTATGTTATCGTATATTAAAGATATTTTTTTGTAAGAAAGTATAAGTATAGGTAGAAAGTTTTCAATTGATGTTTTTCTTTCTCTCGTCACACTCGAAATCTCCCACACTGAAGAAATCTTCTTTCTCGATTAAAATACTCTTGAGAGAAATGTTGTGAGAGTTTAACAGTATAAACCGGCCGGTATAACCGTTATCGATTGTAAAGCACATAGATGCGCTGCATTTTCATGCTTCGGTAATGTTGTTTAAAGATTTTTTTGAAGAAAGAGCTACATTATCAACAATAGTTAAAAAAAATTGCTTTTGGTTGAGATCATAAAAATAAATTTATGTGTCTATTTCTTATCGAGCAACTTATGTTAAATAATATAAAAATTTTTCTAAGAAAACTATTAAAACGCAGCATTCTATTTTTATCTAATTACGAGTTCCGTCTGACCGAAGCGCCTTGTGTGCCTTTTTCTGCAAACTTGTTAGCATACAGCTGTTGGTAAGAGAACTACTTGTATCATTTTATTACGTTGAATTCCGTACATTATTCAAGATATATTAAATAAAATAAAATAATCAACAATAAAACAGCATTTTATGCTAATTATTTTTTTGCACATTTATTATTCAATTTTTTAAAGCATATTCATTTATAATACGCTAGGATACGCTATATTACATTATATTATAACATACACGTATTATAAACAACAATGATATTACATCAATATTATAATGTTTCACTCAATAATATATGTGTAATATAACACATTGTCTGTACAACAATTATGTTAAGTAAGAAATTATTGGTATATCACAATATTGATGTTATGATATTGTTATCGTTTTTAATAATTATAGCATAATATATACAGGATGTTTGGTAAGTTTTAAGAAAGCGTTCTTGTGTAGATAGAGCGGACTAAACGAGTCCTCTATCATTTTCTATTTTCGCAATAATGAACGAGATATGAATTTGTACTGTCGAATAAGTGAAGTAAAATCGATGCATAAGACAACTTAAAAATTTCTTCTAGAGTTCTTTTAACGAAAAAGATGTTTCTTAAAGATGTTTCTTAATGGACTTTTAAAGATATCTTAAAGTTGTTTTATGCATCAATTTTAAACATTCTGTTCATTGGATAACTAAAAAGAAATTGCGACAATTGCAATTGATAGAGATTGATTTTCGATCCAGTTTAGTCCGCTCTATCTACACACGAGCGCTTTGTCAAAACTTACAGATCTTTTAATCAATATTAAAAAATTGTCTATATAAAATATGATTATTTTTAGTAAATTTTTTTAAGAATTAAAAAGGAGAAAGTATTCGTCAACTACTTAATTACACTTTTTAAACCTATCACAACTTTACAGCACGTTCAACTTTTTGTTAAGAACTTAAGAATCGCAAAGGAGGTCACTCGGTTTTCTTTTGTACAACTTTTAATTGACAAACAATTACCATGCGAAACATGGATATACATATATGTGTACGGAGTAACATTTTGTCCATCCATCAACCATCTGGTGGACCTCGTTCTCACACTCGTTTCCTCAACAACTTGAAAAACAATCGATCCGTCAATCCCGACATCTATCTGTGCTCTACTTATCTTTCGTGTCGATACCCTAGGTGCATCGAAACTATGCCGTCCCTGGGATCTCGACCGCTGAGGCTAATCCCCCTTAGCGGACTTGGACCATGTTCCAGCATCGTTTGCGACGGTTCGCGATAGAATCAACGTACACCCTCGCGCGCGCGCTTACCCTTGAGAGGGAAGGCGAGAATATAGGTGAAGAAGGGGAGAGAGGAGAGGAAAGAGAGAGAGAGAGAGAGAAAGAGAGAGAGGTGGGGAGAGAGAAAGAGAGGAGAGAGGAGAGAGATAGAGTGCGCAATACACAGCAACGGCCGTGAGCTACGGGAGTTTGCAAGGGGGCGGTTAGGGGTAAGAGAGATGAGGCATGTGGCGCGCAACGGTTATTCGAGAGAGATGAGGCAAGTTCTCCGGTACACGGTGGTGGGCACAATATTGATCTGTGGGGTGGGCTTCGGGGATGCTGTCCTCCGTCTCTCTCCACCGCTCCCGGACCGCCGTTCTCACCCGCCTTCTCGCGCCCCCTCGAGCCCTGCGATGCCCCTCCCTCTCCCCGCGTCTTCGCACCCCCCAAGTCTACTATCCTGGTACTCTGGCGAAGTGGTGGGGATCACTCTGGTTGCGTGCTGGTCCAGTCCGCAGCCTCCCGCGAAATCGTAGTGGGAACTGGAGGTGGCCACGGGTGGTAGGGGCGTTGGAGAGGGTGGATTCTCTCCGGAGGTGGAAGTGGCGGAGGAGGGTTATGGCCATCGTGGGGAGCGCTCCTCGCGTCTATATCGCGGCGGTGGCTGCGAGTCGCGAGAGCTCGACCGGCAGCTCGTACACGACCCCGACCGCCTCCTTTTTCAGGGGTTTCGGTTTCCGGTTCGGACACCCGTTCGCAGGGACGAGGCGGTTTTCTCCATCCCCCGTGTGTCCAATCCCTCTCTTTCTCTCTTTTTATCTCTTTGTCTTATTTTCCATCACCTCTTTTTCTCCATTCCTGTTTCTCTGATCTTCCCTTTTGCCAACCGCTGTCTCAGTCTAGCGCGAGTTGCCACGTTCGGCCGATCACTTCGCGGCGTACACTCTGTGCGTGCGGCTTACACGGGGAGGTTAGACGCGTCTCTTCATCTTCGTGCTCGTCGTCAGCCAGTATTCGCCGGTATTCATCATTACGGATTACTCGTGTTCGCATCTCGTTCGTGTTGAACCCGCGGTGGAATGCAAGAGGTGCGACTTGGCCGGATGAAAGCAACTACGGATAAAGGATCGAAGCAAGTGGCACAAGCGGAACGACGAG